AAAAAGTGGTAAAAAACATATATGATTTTTTTAAAGCAGCAACAGATCATCAAAGAAAAAGAAACACACAGTATCACAACCAAATATATTTAAAGCCGTACCTCCAGAAGCCAGGGTTTGAGCTTGCGGTCCAGTATGATGTCAAAGCCCAGGACCTCAAAGCAGACGCTGTCGCTCCCTGGTGGCTGTCCAGGGCGGCACATGCGGTAGGCGTGCAGCACATGAGGCTCAGCCACTATTAATGTTTTCACCACTAATTCCTGGCAGAAGACAGCAAATATACATATATACATATTTATATTTTTTTAATGAATCACAAAATTGAACTGACATGAAAATTCTAAAGGTGTTGCTGCTGTTCATTGTTGCTGAGAACAAACTGTATTCACTTCGCAGATTATAAAGTACATGTGAGACGTAAAATGTGACACATCATATCAAAATAAGGATTAAGTCAATTACATTTTCAGATTCCTGGCTTTAAAAGCTACATTTTGATACCTGGATCTTTCTGATATCTTAATGTAATCCATATTTATGACTTAATTTGCCTTGTTGGTTACAATAATACATAAATATTTGGTCTGAATCCTAATTTTATGTCATTTTAATGAGGAATTTTTGATGTCCTTATAAAGACGAATCCTCAAATTATATTTGATTATTGAGATTTCCCAGCTGAAAAGAAACAAAACATTTCTAGCTCACAGGGAAAATCTCAAAATTTCAAGGCGTTTATCCTCAAAATCAGATTTTTTGTTGCTAACTGCTCAAAAAAGTGCTTCAAAATGTTGTTTTATGATTATATTTCAGAYAGTTCATTCAGCTGATACATTGATAAGGCATTTATTCATTATGTTTTGACAAAATGCAATTTTTGCAAACGTTTTAATCAAAACACTAAATTTGCCTATTTCTCCATTTCTCACTTTTGGACTTAATCCTTGTTTCGATGTGATGGGTCACAAATATACAACCAGTCTCATAAGAGACAGATATTCAAACGATCCAAAAACAATAATCAATCCAGAGTTCTTCTTTGTTGCTGTCAGTTCACCACAGCGGAGCATCATAAGCTATTACTGGCACAGAGTGTTTTGAATTTCCTTCAAGCAAGCACAGACTTCCACCGGTGTTGGTGGCGTTCCATCTGTGTTGCCAGTGGCGCCCAACCGGTGTGCATCTGTGTTTGCACCGAGGTTTGCTGGCTGCTACCTACTGGCCTACATCATTGTTCAAATRTGGAGCTCAGTCTTACACACACAAACACACGCACGCACGCACACACATAYGAAATGAAACTTGCCTTCACCAGGCAAGCCCCACGCAGAGCTGCTGTACTGCAGTTTTGCCCAGTTCAGTCTGACTGCTGGGTGCAGGAGAGGGGGTACGGTGGTCTGGCCCTCGCCTGATAAGGCTTGCTGCCTCCCTGCTCCCTTTTCAATCTGTGTGTTGCTCGCACACCTCCATCTATAAGTTGAGCCGTCTACCATCTGACCCACAGGCTACTCGGCCCCATCACCTGGTCCCACCACCATGTCAGTGCCCCGAGTCCCTGCCAGTGTGTGTGTGTGTGTGTGTGTGTGTGTGTGTGTGTGTG